ACGGATAACAACAACAAAAAAAGAAAAGTCGCGAGAAAATGAAGTGAGATCAACAGCCATGGAGTTAAGCTTCAAGATCATTAGACATAATGTTCTGGCGATTATGATAAGATTTTTAATTTGTAAAAAGTAACCAAAGCTTTTCTCACATACCCACTGCAGCTATACGTTCTGGATGGTTTTAATTTCACTTCAGCAGCATAAATAGCTGGAAGCCTAGAGGCTTATTTTCTCGCTGATGTCAACTTTAAACAGCCCGTTCCCTTGTACATTTTTCAGTCACATGAGCTATATTTGAAGAGCACTAGAATTATCTGTCTCCATAGAAAATCATTTTTCACAGTACAGCAAATATGTACATTCAGTTGAACATCTTTATATATGCTCAATGTCACTAAGTTTATTGTTCTATGAGATGTCAATCTTTTGTTGTGATCAGGATACCAAAAGCAAAGCACGAAAGATGCACACTTTTATGTTGGGCGTCTCACCTACTGTTATCCAAGCAGCTGGTTGTTTAAATTATCAATCGTTTTTCATTAACCCAAATGATTCATTTATAGATATTGTAGGTGCTTCGAGGCTACTTGGCCCACAACCCCGCGAGAAAAATGCGGGGCCAGACCAGGAACCTTGTTTATTCCTCTAAGTCTCGGCCGCGAATGCCCGCTGCCAGCGACTGCCGCGTGCCACAAGTGCACCCGCGATCCTCATTCGCCTCTTCTACCTCCAATCGGCGCACTAGCAGTCACTGCTCTCAGAGCGTGTAAGTATATATATATTATTGCAACTCTGCATTGTACTGCCTTTTTGAAGCCTGCATGGCTAACGTTACTTCAGACTTCTTGCCCATGATAAGCATCGGCCAGATGGTATTCGAAGGGGCTAGTGCTACCCAAAGCTTCTTTTATAGATAGTTCATGGTGGCGTCATAGCTGTACACTCAAACCTCAATATAATGAACCCAAATATAACGAAATATAGGTTATAACAATGTGATTGAAAAATAGTCTTGCAATAGATATAGCGTTAATGATAAACCTTTATAACGAATGTTCGCATATAACGAACTTAGTTTCGTGGAAGCAGCAAGTTTGTTTTAATGAGGTTTTCGTGTATTTCACAAAACATAAAAACGCTAGTCTAGACGAACGCTGTTGGTAGAAGTGGTGCGAATACGAACTTCATGGTGCAGGGTTGCCAGGTGTAGAGACGCTGTGTCAATTAGGCGACTCTTTGGGTATGCGGCGTCTTTTTTCCTACTTTGTTACTCCATCGATTTCAAACAAATTAGCAATATCTAGCAACGTCGCAGCTGCTGGCATTCAAATACGCGGTCAGGGAATAGTGACTTACTCATCTTTTCAGTTCTTAGAAATGAATTTTGCATTTGCACTACGCTACATGTATAAAGCCATTTTTGACACGCGGCTGATAGTTATGAAACAATTATGGAAGATGCCTCATTTCACAGACCATTTTTTTCTAAATGTAACTTTGTATCTCCACAGCAAGCGTTCCCTGCCCTCATCATGATATCAATCGGATATCCAACGAACTTGCTTGTGCCATATATTAGGGTCAGGTAGGGACGGCCCAGAAAAATGGTGCCGATCGGTAGTCGAGGCTCCTGAAAACATGCGAGGCTAACAGTATGGTGCAGGATGTGGCCTGGAATTTATAAATATTTCTGAGAATTGGCTAGAAATCGCTCTTTGTTCTATCTACAAATGTTGCCATATACCCAAATCATTGCGTCATACACCCCAAGCCCACGACCGTTGGCTGATTTGAGCGTCGTGAGCTGCATAGTTATCCCAGCCACTGCAAGATGACGCCACGTGCTCACGCGATCACCCTGAATACACGCAGCGCATTAATCAAAAACCAAAAAAAAAAGTGCTCAGGGCCACAGTGACGAAGGTACGCATCTTGTCATCTCTGTGTTCAGCACATCACTCCACTCATGCTTGTCCGATTCTAAAACTTTTGCGGCAGTCCATTTGTGAGGCAATAAACTTTTTTAATGAGGCCATTAAATACTTATGTACTTCAAAAATTGTTCCAGAGCGCCTCTTTAACTGCGAAGGCCTCGCTTCATGGTCGCTATTGTTGATAGTTCAATCGCGGCAACTGTGCTTTCGAGCACACTCATCGTTTTTATTCTTGCCCCAAACCTGTTACTTTCAGTTCAATTAAGAAATGTCAAAGACCTAGGAAGACAGTGCAATTTTTTTCAATAGCGTAAAAAGCAAAAAAGAAACTATCGTACTCTTGCACAAAAGCATTGCTTCAGTCCCCGATCTATGCTAGAATTTCAGCGATTCTTATTTCGAAAGCTTCATGGTGTACTTAACTACGTTGTTGCCGAAAGGCTTTTAAATTCAGTCATTCATGTAAAAACCTTGGCACCTGTATTCACACACGGGTAGCAACTTTTTGCTGCTTTTTCTATACATGACCCAAGTTGGCTATTTTCTAGCTAGTTCTTTAAAAAATTTCTGGCTATTTCTTCTTTTTTCAGCCTGGCAACCCCATCTCGGTGGGATAATTATTGGAGAGAACGTAGTGTATGATGTATCGAAGAACAATGACATGAATTAGCAAATATTGCTAACTAAATTCAAATTACTTATTACGCAACAATAAGAAAGCTTGCAACATGGCACTAGCAGTAACAAAACAATGTTACCGAGTGACTAGCATACGAGGCTCAGCTCATCATAAAATAAATAGAAGCAAGGCTGACGCCAGCTTGATTACTTCCTCCCATTCATAAACCTATATATCTTCTACGTATTGGAAGACGTGTATTTTTTCATAGCATACATATTCGCTGCATACTACTGTACCAGTATATGTTATCGAAATAGCCCACTCAAAGCTCAGTAATCGAATGCTACAATGCAAAGACAGAAAAGAAACTTCATGAGAAAATTATAATTTATGTAATATGTCTAATATGTCAAGAACTACTTCATACGTGCTGACTCACTTCTTTGCTCCTGTTTGCAATTTTCCAGCATATAAAAATAATGCAATATTTCCTTTCATTTGAAGTAAAATTTCGTATTGAATTCAGATAGATAATGTGACAGTTTTAGGTAAAACCAAATTAGAATATGTCATTTTTGCAGTAAGAAACAGTGCTCTTGAAAACCAAGATGCGCTATAACTTTTTGGTGCCCCAGAAAATTTTCGAAGATTGTTCACAAGAATACGACAAAAGTGAAAGCAAAATATTAATTTCATTTGAGATTCTGCCACGAACTCAAGCACGCATCTTAAAGAAGTTCAAAATCCGAATTGTAAGCTCTGGCCACATAGCTAATCATTCGTTGTTATGCCACTTCATGATAACTTAATAAATTACCATTGATCTCTGATATTAGGCAGTTATCAATACAGGAACAAGGCTGCTTTGTGGTAACTAAGCAATACTAGTCCTACAAGTGCTCATACATATTTACGTCTTAAAGGCAGATATTTATGTATATCTTATCACGTGACAGCATAGCTTATTAACAATATTCAGATGACAACGTGAGAACCGGGAAATCCTGACGCCATTTTAACAGCCACAATGATGGCTAACTTTTTCACAATAGATATCAAAACAAGTAAAAAAAGACTGGAGCTAATAGGCATGATGACGGTGCACCATCTGTACAACTTGACTAATGAGTTTTTTAAAAAATAATATTCATGAGGTTTAACATGTGTATATGCACCCCAAGCGTGTCGGGCCGGCCAAAGAAGACGTTGCGCGATGCGTGCTTTAGTGAACATCAAAGTGAGGAGAGGAGTTATGGTAAATTACATGTAGTGCTTTGATTAGCATATCATACTTTGATTAGCACTGCTGGAAGGGGCAGAAAGAGTGAAGCATTCTAGTAAACATTCCTATTCGTTGAATATTGTTGCCCATTCGTAGGCAGGCTTTCCATTACGTTGCTCTATAACATCCCTACTGCAAGTGTGGGAACAAAGCTACAGACAGGTCACCGAAAATTAGTCCACCAAGAAAATACATGTCGACCGCAAAGTTGCTTAAGAACAGGAGAGGTCAGGTTATGGAGTCATATGATGACAAGTGTTTCGTATTGCTTTTCATTGTGTGAAAGGTTAGAACACCGCTCAGTTACCGATGGTTACAGGCCTTTCATTCCACTCACGACATACACTACACATCATTAACCAAGCACGTTTTTGCCAAAGCTTTGCGTATATTTGGCTGCCTGCATTTAGAGGTAATCAATCAATCAATCAAGATTGGCAAACAGATCTTAAGGTGCAATTTATGAGTTAAAAGTGAAAAGAAAAAAATGCAAGCCAACAAGCAAAAGCTTAGATGCTACACAAATGTACACAAATATTCATACCATTCTCCAATGAAGCTTTCTATATTTCAACGATATATGCTCGTTTTAAATGTACGATTATGTGTAGAAATCCGAGCTTTTTTAGACAATCTCACGTTCAGCGTTTCTCTTCCACAATCAAGCATGTAGTGAAAATGAGCAGTGGCTGTTCCTATACTAAGCTTCTTGGAACAGCACTCGGGTAATTGGTAATTAGCAGAGATAAAAGTGTTTACAAAGAATTATTGAAAGATGCTGCACTTTTGAAACAACAAAGTATGCTTATCCTATCAGTCCAGTGAACATATTACTTCTTGGTTATAGTGTAAAATGGAATAAATTTCATAGTAAATAAAATCATAGTGGTAAGTGCATTATTTCATATTCACTGAGTTAGGTGTCAGCTGATGCTTTCATATTCACTGAGTTAGGTGTCAGCTGATGCTAAGGATAGTTGTATAATATGAAGAAAAAATGAAGCCAGAAAAAAATGTGGATATCACAATCTGCTGAAGTTTGAAAATCTATGCATAATTACAAGAATTGTATATTCATACATAAGGCCCGCATTGCTAAGAATGAAAAAGATGCAAAGTCATGTGAAAGTCTTAAGAATTCATTAGATTTTAGTCTTTTTTGCCACAAACGTGTTAGAAAGGAACGTGTGCTAATGTAAAATGAAGGCACCAACACAGCTCTGCTTATATGATTCTGGTAGGGATGAAAAAATAACTGCTAAACGACAGAAGATGGCAAGATAGTACTGCCTGTTACACTAGGTTACATGTCCTGGCTGTGCAGCTGTTCTGCTTGCACTGTTCAATGGCAAAACAATCGAAACAATGCATTTATCTCCATGCATTATCATTCGTGCCATTCACACATTGTAGTGATAAACATGTGGCTCGCGTGCACTTATCGAGACAGGTCAAAAATAAAAAGGAAACACTGCTATGACACGCGGCGCTTTGTTGTCATGGAAGCAGTGTGGCATCACAGTTAAAACACACAACAATGATATAGGAGGTTCATTCATGCGTGCAGATATATGCTTACGAAAACATGATGCGGCTTTTGAGGAAGGGTTGTGCACAACACTTTGGTTTTGCTTTTGTTTGTGCTGTTTTATGGCAGACAAAGTGGGTAGGAATATTGTTCGAAGAAATGTCAAGACAGGGAAATGTGCAGAGTGAAGTAGAGAAAGGTGTGCGATGAAACGGGTGGGGCAGACGTTGAGAGCAACAAATCATGCCTCTAGTAATCACCACGAGTCCAGCGAACGTCGCTGAGCATATTCAGAGAAACATGTGAATGGCCAACAACATCAACAACACAAAACATAGTTTGCCTGCCGTTTGCATCCTGGCAAAGTCCATTATGTAGGACTGTTCGCAGCTCATCTGCCGTCGTGTGAGTAAACACCAGGTCAGTCTGTTTTAGAGTAATGTGGAGGCTAAACCACCTCATAAACAACCAACAAGCACATCAATAACCTTGGATGGCTCAGCCACAATCAGTAGTACAGATATCCACTAAGCTTGCCTGGCACTGATATTTCAGAAGACACATTTTCATGTCATTTAAATGTCAAATATTTTGTTTTTTCATGCATGGCTCACGTCACATTGAAGTGCATTGAACTTGGTTGAACTAATGTTGTTCAGTGGTGTGGAACGTGACTCAACTTATTGCTTCACGTTACAAAAGAGGTTCGCTCTATATATGTGTTTTTGTGCATGCAAAGACTTCGATGCAACGGGAAAGGAAACAATAGGGATGGTACATAGCGTCATGACAACCTAACCAACTGAAAAGACTAAATGTAACACCAAGGGTACTTCCAGTAATTATGTTTATAGAATGTGACACTTAATTGAAAGAAAAATAGGACAATGCATTTTTAAAGACAATAACTGACTTTCATATAGCACTAATATTTATCTTAATCGTCTTCATGCACATTATTGAGCCAGCAGAAACATGACTGCCTGTTTGCATGCCTAATGCCTTAGAGGTGTTTAAGGAGGGAGATGGTTTCACAATGTTTGAGGTGAAAAGGAACTCGGGACATCATGTGCTTTGCCAGGAAAAGAACAGACGAAAATACCTGGCAGATGACATTATGCTTTGTATGAAAAGTGATGCATCAAAGGAGGGTCGGCAAAAAAGAGACAGGCTTGCAAGCGCTCAAATGGGAGAGAAGTCGTTGTCATACAAAGAAGAACAGTCTAGCAAGAGTCGATAACTAGAATGTCTCTCTCTTCACAGGGAAAGAAAACAAAACAAGCAAGACTCCCGAGATTATAAGACGGGAGTCCATGGGCGCGCCACCACAGGTGAAGCCAGGTGCAAGCGTCGGCAGCTTTCTCTCCAGACCACACACGCGAGCGGGGGCTTTGCAAACAGGAACAGGAAGCCAAGGAGCTGAAAGCTTTGTCTCTCTTCTTTTTGACTGCGGTTCACTCATCAAAGGTTCCTTGGCTAGAACCACCTACGTATGTCTGAAAACAGGAAAAGTGAAACACAAATGCAGTGAAATGCTGCGGAAACAATGGTGTTGATTTCGGATAGGGTTAGCTAAGGCACTCGTTCAGAACAGATAAACCTGCTTATATATACAGTTAAAGCTGCTTATGACGAATCTCTATATAACGAATTCTTCGATATAACGAATTTTTTTCGATTCCCCCCGTTGCTATACAGAAGCACATGCATTTGCGACCTCTAAGTAACAAAGTAACAGCGGGAAACAACCGGGAGACAACACAATTTTCCCACGGACAATCTAGGAACTTTGCTCCGCATTTTGGCATTCATCTTTCGCGGCTTCCCCGCCGCCGACGAAGCGGCGGCGCGCACAAGGCGAGAGCGAGCGCTCGTCATTGCGAGTGGGTGAGGCTGGCAGGCGGGCCTCCGCCCCACGAGCCGGCGTTGCCGCCATTCTCGCCGCCGCGGGTGTGTACCCTACCTTCACTCCAAACCAAAAAGAAGACTAACTAAAAGTGTGGCACTGCCAACACGCAAAAGTAGAGTCACATAATGTGGGGCCGCGCTGAATATGGAGGGCGCTTTACCAAATAGTTTTCCCGTGGTATCCGTTCCCGTGTCCATCGCTGTTCGTTTTCGACGCCGTGCGCGCGTGCATAGTTTCACTGCGCACGCATGATGTGGCCCTCGGCGACGTCCAGCTTTGCTTTTTTTTAAAGACGATAGTCTTTCTTGGGGACCTTAGGCGCAAAAATCTTGGTCAGTTTGTGCGCCCTTAAGGGTACCCCAAACGACAGCAAACGATTCTCCAAACGGCGGACCCGATGCGCAGCGCCCTCCACTATCGCTCACGTTTTAGCGTTCATACTTGTGCGATTGTCAATTAAAAAGCGATTATTGCGCATATCTGAGGCACCATAACAACACGTAAATATTCTCTATGTGTGACTTTACATTAGCGAAGGCATATATAAGTCATTCTAAGGACCATAGCGTTTATCACGCTGCGCTGATAATGCGACACTTGCACGAAAAAGCAAGTGTTTCCAACGCTTTGCTAAGACGACACGGTGGTGGCACTTGCCCGTCGCTTTGCGTTCTACACGTTATCGCCTCCGAGACAGGCGCGCACGTCTTCTTTCGTTTTCGAAGATAACTGCCAGATAGCGCTTGTGTCTAACGTGCCCCGATGCGCTCGTTCGCCTTCGCTACACGGATCGAGACACTTTTAACGCACCGCCTCCAGAATGCCATTCACCAATTTTCTTGCGCAGAACATCAATTACACGTTTTGTTCACTCTCTCCAGACGGAAGACTATCGTCTTTCGACGACATTTGCAGTGTAACATGCAGATACGGGGCCAATAGTTTATCACAACAGCAATTACATTTACAGTCTTGGCTGTTTTTTTTTTCCGTCGGCACCGCTATTCGATCGGCGCATGTGTTTACGTATCTATATATACATGAAAGTTCAAGAAAAAAAAGGGGGGCCGCCCGCGCTGGCGCCCAGCTCGTCACGATGCGTCGGCGTTGAAACAGCACTGATTCTCGTCCAGATAGCATTGTTGCTACTTGAGCGGTCCCCCTCCCCTCACACGTTTCATGCTCGTTCAAAACGGGTGGTTTACTTTCTGCTTAAGCATTAGGCGGCAGTTCTAACACGCGGGAGATGTTATGCACTTTCCAGGCGATAGGGATGGCCCGAATCATTTGATCTGTGCTTCAGCAACGCTCGCTCCCTTTTACCCGCTCGTGAAAGTTAGGATGCGAGGGGGCATGCTATCAATTTGGACTTGTTACAAAACATGGCGGTGACGGCAGAAGCCCACCGAGAGTGTCCACAAGATTGCTATCGCAATAACAACGCGCATTTTTTTTAGTGTAGGATGAGTGTTTTGGGTTAGCTCTGCCTTCAGTCCCGCGTTTGTTTAATTGGCACGTTTATTTTATAAATTTTTGTACCGAACCTGCATATAACAAAAACCCTTTTTATAACAAACTTTCTCGGAAATTTACCAATTTCGCTATATCCAGACTTGACTATATATATATATATATATATATATATATATATATATATATATATATATATATATATATATATATATATATATATATATATATTGTGACAGAAACACTTGTAACTGAAGGTCCGGCTGGTCCGATAACTGACAAAATGAACTCGTCATCGTTTATCTACAGCGAAAGCTGTTATGAGATCACAAATCGGGTCTCGCGCAGCGCCATTGTTGTCCACCGCCACTGGTGTCCGTAACCACATCGCGCGAAATTAGAAGAAAAAAAAAACCTAGAACCATGGCACAGTGAGGCTCGAGCCCGGGTACGCTGGGTGCCACATTAGTACTCTACCGCTGAGCCATGCCGGTGCTTGGGACTTGTTGGCAAACTTGCCTTAGCCGGGCTTGATGTTGGGAAAGCAATCGCGTTAACACGACTTATAAAACATTTTAAAACAGCGAAAGAACGATCAGCCGTCGCACAATGCGAATAGCGTAACGAGTGGGTCGTCCAATGCTTAAACCATTACAAAAGCTTGTTTTTGCTGAGCTATGGCGCATACCCACTTCAGGCAAATTACTCATTGTCGTCAGCCACTGCATGAACAATTGGCAGAAAATTCCTCGCAAGAGTTTAGCGGATACCACGCTTCTCAGAAGAATGACGAAAAATAGCAGAGCGAATACCAGCCGGTAGTACCATCCTAAGATTTTTATTACTAATTCCATAGTGGGCATCAAGGAAGAGTTCTTGCAGCATTAACCAATGAGTGTTTAAAAAAAGAAGGCTCTGAAAGGCCGCTGTTCCAGCTTTCGAAGTGATTTTGCTGCGCCTTCCGCGCAGACCTGGCGTTTTTTTTCTTCTGTGACGTCCTTCAAGATACTAACAGCGAGCTATTTATATACACCATTTACTGCTGGCGGTCCGCAGCGCTCGAAGGCTCTTGAGTGTCGGTTACTACCCTGGTAGCACAACATGCTGTTACAACATAAGATCAATGTTTTGAATGTTGTGTTTTGCTGTACCGCGTTGGACATCATAAAGTAACATTTCTGCACCATTCATTTTTGCCAAAACGTTAACATTGCTTTCCACCAATGATGAAACGTTACTGAACAATCTTTAGGCAATATTGGTAATAGACAACGCTGCAACATTATGCCGTAAACTTACCTTCAACAATCACATCGATACACGCGTTTATGCACTTAGCAATAAAAGCATGCACACGAAAAAGCAGCAGTGTGTCTTAATATCGCAAGGTGTGTTTTTAAGTTGCGAAATATGGTTCAAGATTTTTCTGCCGCAGTCGCAATACTTTCTTCAAGTGCATAGCGTGCACATTTTTTATATTTGGACGTTCGCGACTAGTCACCACTCATGAACACGTGCTTAAGCAGAAGCGAAGAATGAATGCGAAAAACTATCTGCCAAATGAACCGTCGCACCGCGAGTTTGTATGCTGACTTCCTCGATTTGAGCTCGTGATCAATACGGCACACGATGCAATTCTGATCGTATCTTCACGGTCGTCGCTTAAAAGGAACATCATGCAAAAAATTGCGGCCACGGCTTTTCCCCCCTAAATTATTGTAGCTTGTGGCATTTGCGATGTGAAAACACATCTCAGAGGCCTTTCTAATGTAGCACGGCCTCTGAGATTTGATTTTGTTATTCAAAGATTTATGAGACAAGCCAACTATCTGCTACGTGTGATAAAACACAAAACACGTTTGATAACTTGTTTATTCGGCAATCGTTTGTGGTAGGCAAAGTCATATTTAAAAAAAAATGAACTTATGAGCATTTTAGAGGCCATTGTTTTACTATTTGCGCGCAGCGGAAGTTTTAGACACCATCTCAGAGATGACGTGAAGCGATGGTGCAGCAGACTAAGAACGAGGTCGCACAAGCCAACAAAAGCAACTGTTGAGCATCATTTTTTTTCCTTCAAACTACCTATGAGCTCTTGTTTCAAGAGGTAAAATACCCACTTCCCACTCAAGAGACCCAGGTTCGAATCGCAGCTGTAGACGACAGATTTTTCCAATTCTTAGTTTTGCGTGTAGAACCAATCGGTTTGCTTTTTTTTTACATCTAGGTTCACTTGCTACATGTTAGGAAAGGTCACGCGAAATATGAAGAAGAAATTTGACAATAAGCGTACTGGGGAGCCGCTAGTCAAGTCCCAGCACGCTTGCTGTCAAGTTTCTTCTTTACTCACCGTATATATATATATATATATATATATATATATATATAATATATATATATAATATATATATATAATATATATATATATATAATATATATATATATATAATATATATATATATATATATATATATATATATATATATATACAAGAAAAATATTCCAGCGTGCAGAATCGAACATGGGACCTCTGAATTGTGAGTGCGAGGCGTCCGCCACTGAGCCACGGAAGAGCATCTCCTTGAACAGTCAAACGCCAAGCTATTTATATCTACCACTTGCCGCTGGTGACGGGCATCTCGGAGGGAATTATCGTGTTTTCAGCCTCACCAGCAAGATGGCCAGAACAATCAGCGCGTGTCGCCACATCGCCACGACGCGGCGGCGCGAGCTCTCATCTCCTACGCTTACTTTGCTCTACGGAGAGGGAGCAAGGTGAACGCTAACGCGCGCGCTTATCTCGAGGTAGGGACAATCGTACGTCCTGGCTGGCCTTAGGCTTTCACCGGAACGATTCTGTTGTAGTTACTGGGCGCGCAAAGGTCACTGCAATCGTTGCACAGTCTCCGTTTGCAAAAAGGGCGCGCTTTTCAGACACATCGAAGTAACAACTAAGACGCTTATTCGCGTTCATCTGCATCTGCGAATACGCTTCATGCGTCATTTGCGAGTGAGAAACACGGGCCACGTTTCGATATGCTTGCAATTCTGCGCGTGACTCCCAATTTCTTGCTATTGCATTCATTGCTTCGATTTTGCGACACAGCTGTGATTTTTGGTCTCTCGAGTGTTCACACACACACACACACACACACACACACACACATATATATATATACATATATATATATATATACATACATATATATATATATACATATATATATATACATACATATACATATATATATATATACATATATATATACATACATATATATATATATACATATATACATACATATATATATATATACATATATACATACATATATATATATACATATATACATACATATATATATATATACATATATACATACATATATATATATACATATATACATACATATATATATATATACATATATACATACATATATATATATACATATATACATACATATATATATATATACATATATACATACATATATATATATACATATATACATACATATATATATACATATATACATACATATATATGTATATATATACGGTGAATAACGGTGAAGGCGGCGATAGCAAAAAAAAACTGTCCATATAATTGCTATCGCAATAAAAACGACTGCTCGCGCTGCACAATCGTTCACTGGCCACACCATATATGTAGGGACTGGATTACGCGTTAGGAGTTCAGTCAAATGCGCCTTTACTTCGCTTTTGCTTGACGTTGAAGGCAACGCTTCTCCTTCATTCAATATATCGGAATAATAGAGACGAAATAACAATTACGCCTTCCAAAACCATACCGAATTGCGCAACATTCACGCGTTACCCCCACCACTCTGCGACGCATTTGCTCGATCGAGTTCCCCCGTGGGAAGATGCAGGCGGCATTTTTTTTTTAATTCCATGCGGCTTGGCCCCGACCTCATGGAGAACATCCTCGTAGACGACAACACCTTTCAGCTGCTTGAATATGCGCCAACGACGGCTTCGAGATATCTACCAGCACATCGTAAGTAATGAGCCTGAGTTCATTATTTTCTGCACACTTTGATTTTGTGTACCACATACGACATGGCAAATAAAGAAATTGCTGAAGCCTTTCTTTTATTATAATTCGCAGTTTTATTTTTGTAAGGTGTTTGTCAATACCACAATAAGGCTGTGAAGGTTCATCTTTTATGACATGTGATGTAAGTGAAATGCCCCCCTCCCCCAATTTTCCGCTTCACTACCACGCACATGATACAAACGCTACACCCGGCGTCATCGCTTGTCTTGCGAACTTCATCAACGTTTTATTTTCGTGAGGTGTTTTTCAATATCACAATTAGGATGTGAAGATTAATTTTTTACGTGGCGTGAATCCAGTAAAATTCTACCCCCCCCCTTTCCCACTTCACGACCGCGGACATGCTACAAACGTTACACCTAGTGCTATCAATCACTGTTTTATTTCCGTGAGGTGCTTGTAAATACCACAACCAGCCTAAATTCATTTTTTTAGAGATGTGAATTCAGTAAAATGCTCCATTCAATTCCCGCTACACGGCTGCGGGCATGCTACAGCTGATGTTGTCATTGTCTTGCAATCTCAACCGAACAAAGTGGTAAACAACGTTATATCTAAGACGAGTACATTTCGCCGTAGGTTTTGTTAGCTTGTTTACAGAGTGTGTAGCTCACCTTGCACCTCCTAGGAAGAGTAGAGCAGATGATTCTTTCAGTGGTAGCCATTGGTGAATGCAGCCGCCATCAACGGGCCCTGCATTGTTTTGTTAAAATGAACATACTGAGAGTCCTTAGCAATTTATTTTAGCAATGCACATGACGAAAAGCGATGCCACAGAAACCAGGAACTATATGTTCTATACTTTTTCAAGGCAGATGAAAAAGTACAAAGCTGAGTGGCGGTTTTGTGCTAAATGAACAAGTGCGCTAACATTCGGTGGACGAGTTAGATCAAGCTCGCACCAGGGATCGGATGCGAACCCACGCCGAAATTGCACCCGCATCTTTCAGGGCTAGCTGCGTAACCTACGCACCACCACAATAAACATGCTTGTTGATGTGTGGAAGGAGTGGAAAACAAAGGGAACCACATTGACAAGGTCTTCCAAGTACTGAACGAAGATGGCTCAATCGCGACATCACATGTTGGGTGCGGCTCTATGGTGTCCCAACACGGCCATTTGCATTTCTGTGACTTTAAGATGCGAAGCAGCTCTACGACTAGCCTGTGTAACGCTGTCCCTCCGTCCACCCACACTGCGCATTCACGCGTCTCACGTCTCGTGCGGGCCTAGCGAGACACCCGCCAAACTGTCGCTCCCTCGCGAGGCTGGCGCAGGCAACGTCTGCTAGTAAAAAAGCGACTGCTCTCGTTGCACAACCGTTCACTGGCCACCCCGTATATGTATGCGTTGGATCGCGCGTTCGCAATTCAGTCAAGGGCGTCTGTACTTGGCCTTCGCTTGATGAGCGCCAGCGTCAACGTCGCCGCCAGTCGTTCACACCGAACGCGGGGCGGCCAAAGCGGCCAGGCGGCAACGCGGATAGCGAAAATAACCAGGTGGCGAAATCGGGGGAAAATCCAGGCGGCAAGGGCGATCACTCTCGGAGCAATTTTAAAGACGATAGTCTTTCTTGGGGACCTTCGACGCAAAAACTTTGGTCTGTCTGTCTGTCTGTCTGTCTGTCTGTCTGTCTGTCTGTCTGTCTGTCTGTCTGTCTGTCTGGTCTGTCTGTCTGTCTGTCTGTCTGTCTGGTCTGGTCTGTCTGGTCTGGTCTGTCTGTCTGGTCTGTCTGTCTGGTCTGTCTGTCTGGTCTGTCTGTCTGGTCTGTCTGTCGGTCTGGTCTGTCTGTCTGTACATTTGTCTGTTTGTCCACCATTACCGTGAACTGGGCACTCTAAACAGCACCAGACAATACCCTGAACGGGCGACCCCATCCGCCGCACCCACCAATGTTGCTCAAGAATTAGCGTTCATGCTTGTGCGATTGTAAATTAAAAAGCAATTATTGCGCATATATGAGGCACCATAATCACACGTATATATTCTGCATGTTCGTCTTTTAATAGAAAAGACATACATAAGTAATTCTAAGGACCATAGCACTTATCACGCTGCGCTGACCATGCAACGCTTGCACGGAAAGGCGAGTGTTTCCAACGCTTTGCTTAAAAGACACGGTGGTGGCCCCTACCCGTCGCCTCGCGTTCTACACCTTATCACCTTTGAGACAGGCGCGCACGCCCGTCTCAGGGCTACGCGCCTTGTTTTCCTAAAAAAAAAAAAAAACACCAGATGGCGCGCATGTCTCATGTGTGCCGCATGTCTCATGTGGCCCGATCTAAAGGGTACAGCCATATCCATCCATGCCTCCGCTGCACGCTCGAGGCACTCTAACGCAGCGCCTCCGGAATACCATTCACCGATTTTCTTGCGCAGAACATCAAATAAATGTTTTGTTCACTCTCTCCACACGCAAGACTATCGTCTTTCGACGAAATTTGCAGATTACATGCAGATACGGGGCCCTTTTTTTTTTTTTTGCCGCCTGCCGAGGCTCGCCGCTTTGCCGCAGCCTATCAGAACACCACGCAGCGGAGGCGCGGGTGTACGTTTGGGAGAAGCACTGACACGGCACAGCGACACTTGCGCAGATGCCCGCCTACTTTGCCCCACGGCGATCCATAGGAGACGCGCCGCCTTCGGTGTGAATGAGCCCACACATGGTTCCCTTTAGCAGAAGATGGTCCAAGTTTTTTGGGTCGTTTCCCGAAAACAACAGGCAATCAAAAGTATTTCACTTTTTTCTTACAGATATTCATTATGCAGGAGTAAACCGGGGTATGCTGATGGATATTTATGCACTCGCCTTTCACCACATGGGCATAAGTTGAACAGTGCTTCCGAGAAGATTTTCTACCCCTTGGGTACGAGCTGCAAGTCAAGCGCGAGCTAAAATTAAGAACCTAGTATCCGCACGAAACTTTCCAAGAGTACGACCGGACGATGCAGGAACTGCATCGGCGAGCAACACTGCCTGCTTGAAAAAGAAGCAAAGTAGCTCGGGTCATTCGACAGCCATCCCAGATTCGGGCTTGTTAGTGCCACCGCCAGCACCGAAGTCAGCTCTTGAGCCGTTACCGGCTTAAACAGTTTGCCCCCAGACGCGCTTATCGACCTTCTTGTCCTGATGCATAACCTTGCTCATGGCGAAACATCTATCGATGCACCCACTGTTTTTACAAACTCACTCACCAGAAGAAGGCGCCACCTTAACATAGTCCTTTTAAAATCAACCACTGATTGCTTTGGGTTTTCTTCCTTTCGTCATGCTATTGACATTTTTGAAATGGTCTTGAGGACACTCTGGGCAAGTTGTCTACCAATGAATTTGTGGGGCTATTGTTCAAGTTTATTAAACATCAACAGCACTAATTAAAAGGAAAGTGTGTACAAGATTTGTAATACACAAGGAGCCTCAAAGTTACAAACTGGTTTGAGGGGTGGGGGGAGGCTCCATACATGATGGGAACGGGAAAAAAATGCACAATTCAGTGGTTACAGTATCTTCGATCAGCGAAAATAATCAACAGTAGGATAAAATTGCAAAACATAATCACGTATACGTTTAACAGACAAAAAAGTAAGAGGTAACGCTGAAAAACAATTGCGAATAACAATACAATACATATATTATAGAGAAATAACAGACAATATTGTCCCTAACAAAGAAAACAAGCCGTTTAATTTACACTCGTTTCACACAAAGATATCAGCAATATAACACGTAAGAATCAAAAAGCAGTTGTTAGTATCAGGACAATTGTTGCCAAAAGTATTTCCTCATACTTGGTTCTTTAATGTACGTTCCGTGGTGAATGATTTCATGATGTAAGTAAGGAAGTTTCGTACCTTGATTCCTGTAAACGTTGTTGTGAACCTACTGTAGTTCGTGTGAACTTTAGGCAGAACTCGATTACCGAGCTCACAAAACCCACTAACGTCATTTATAATGCTTTCCACGACATCTACGTACACGTAGGATACCGCGAAAAAGCTTGAACATCACAGTTGATACTTTTGGCTGAAAGAGGTGATGAAGATGATGGATATTTCAATTGCGATAAAGTGACATTGCATTGGTTAAGAAATGGCTGAATGGCATGAGTTGAAGTGCTCGATTTTGCATGCGTTGAAGTTGGTTGAGTTGGGTGTAATATGTGTTGGTTGCCTTGTACGCAATAACAGAGATGGCTGCGAATACGTTCGTGATAAAGGGATTTGATAATGTGTGAACATGAGCAAGTTCTGATTATGGCGTGCATTCTAAATATAATCTTGCGAATGAGTGATTGCGCATCAAGACTGGACTGCATACGCCTGTCGAGAAGAAGGCATCAAACTACGTTCGTTCATGAGCTGTGTATACTTTCCCGGTTCTCTTTCTTCAAAGTACCCTTCTTCATATCGTATTTTAGAGTATTGCCTCCTGCAGTATCTTGCAATGAAATACGACAGCGTATTTAGAAATAGCATTAAAGAAACTATAGTGTTGTGCTCACCATGCTTACGGTGAGCGGAGGAAAGCCCGATGGCTGCGGTGACGTGGCCTGCACGTAGCTCACGCTGTCCTGACTCGAGCTGTACATGTCCATGGGGCCCGGGCTGTTTGCTGCAGCACACAAATAATGTTCGTAAGGGGCTACCGCCGCCAAAAACAGGGAGAGGTACCTGAAAGAGCTTGCGTTAGTAGAGGTGGTGAGGTCTGCTGCCCGTTTAGTTCCACTGAAACAAAGAAACACAGATATAGCGATTGTCAAATGCTTCTTTAAAATTATTGCACCGACAATCATGGGCCCCGTCAGCGCTGTTTCGTGTTTGATGCCCTCAACTAACTAAAACCATCATAAGCCTCATGTAGCAAAAATCAGGTGAGAAATTTCGTTAGCCTTTCAGTCTCTTCTGAACTAGATTGTGCAGCCTCGAACTCTCTTTTACACAAACATATCGTCGCTGAGCCGGTGTAGGTGAGATATTGACACGCGCAGAAACTAACTTTCTTTAAATATATGAACGCAGGAAACGTGTGTTAGTGTGCTACAAAAGCCAACCTGCTAGTCAACTTCGTAAGAGGTAAACGCTTCCATAAGATATAAATGTGCATTTTCAACCAGCCTCCCTTTTTTTTCCACCAAAGTGGGAAGAAAGCCAAGCGAGTGAAAGAAATACCACTATTGGGGGAGTCGTTATAAGTTTTGTCAACAGATGAGCAAGTAGATGCCAATTGTCTATCAACTGTTTTACTTTTGGGTGCACCTAAATATGCGTTCGACGTGTCCTCTAATGTTTACTATGAGGCACGTGACTGAAATCGTCGATTTTCGGTTTGTTTGATTGGTGTTGGATATTGTCATCGCAAGGCGTACGCACTTGATTGTAAGTGCCACGCGATTGCACATGTCGAACCCATAAAAACCGCACGTCCGGTTAATTGTTCAACAGAACTTCAAGTGAACCGGCACACAGAAGCGCTGTACTACCATTGTAACCTGAATGCTGGTGTACTTGAATGGGCTGCGCAACATGTTTCGAGTATACTGAAAAGACGTCGCCGACATGGAGGCTCCTGTGAGCGGAATATTATTGCAGCAGAAATGTCGTGCCAAGCACGACTTGTTTATACTGCTCCGGTGTCACCAACAACTCAGCAAACAGGCACGAATGCTCATTTCGGGGCAACACATTCGCAGTGATAGGATTATCGCTAATATTTTCTATTCCGTGTACAACCGATGAGCGATGCCCCTTAGAAACGAGACGCAAACAACAATGCGCTTGATCTCGCAGCTGGCTTTCATGAGGAGGTTGGAGCGAGGCTTTCACCAGTAAAGTTTCGCAGTTCCGCTCGCGAGCCGGCAAACGCGGCTGACGTGTGAACTTACGACGGTGCTGTTCGTTTTTGTTTTACTTGCTGTGTCTCGCGGCATCGGATACGGCAGTGCACCGTTGCTCTCAACGACGCGCTCATGGCGCAGCGATGCGAGTTTCTTCGTGCTCGCTTTACCTGTGCTCAGTGCGTGATTTGCGAAAGCGAGAGGCGAGACGGAACTAGTTCTTGGGTCGGCCGTCGCGTACACTTCAAACTGAAAGCTTCTATTGGAAGCTGCGAAACTGACCTGGTTCCAGAAACGCTGGGGGCGGGGGGGGGGGCGGTGATGTGGCGGGGAGCTTCGACGGCGACTGTGGGGTGCGGCATAAGGAGTTTCAGTCCTAATAATTGAAGCTTACATAATGCGTACGAAATGGCGCCAAACATATCTCCGCTTTGAACAAGGGGAGATCGCAAGTCTTCAAGTGTCATCCTTTCCAAGAGAGAAGGGCAGGAGTGAAGCGGGGTCAATATGGCATTGCGGAGATTTAGATGCTTGTTTGCTAGCGTTATCCTTTTGTGGAGTGAGCCTAGCTTGTGCCAGCCGGCTCGATCAGTGGGAAGTACAGCGGCCTGCACAGACCACGCATTCCGACGGCGGGAGGCTCACAGCATGCGTCAGTCCCTTCACTGCCCGCTGGTGACGGACCCCGTCTGCGCCTGCGCTATCTGGCATTCGGTTGGCCACACACGATACTTGCAAGCAGGGTTGCCAGATTTGGCTACGTTATTTTGCTATAGCTTCTGGGTCCGCGCGTGGCAATGTCTTGGCTACATTTTTTTGTTCACTCCACTTGAACCTGCTCCACTTGATCCTGAATATGACTTGCTTGCAGCTGCCAGAATTGAACTTAGAACGTTCATTACACAAAATGCATTTCACTGGCACCGGAGGAAAGTATTTGCACGGCGGCCCATATTGTAGAACATGCATTAATCGGTAGCGAATAGAACACCCGAAAGCGCTCCGCTTAGAGGACGTTCTGCAATATATATATATATATATATATATATATATATATATATATATATATATATATATATATATATATATATATATATATATGCATGCTTCAATTCTAAGCGACAGCAATTTGGAGGATACCTTATCTCGCTCTCATTTTCATTGTCAGCATGGCTGTTACTTCTAGTCACCTTCAGAATACTAACGATACCCTGCCGCGGTGGTCTACAGGCTATGGCACTCGACTGCTAACCCGAAGGTTGCGGGATCGACTTCCGGCTGTGGCGGCTGCATTTTCGATGGAAGTGAAAACGATGAAGGCCCGTGAGCTGATAGTTGGGTGCACGTTAAAGAACCTCAGGTGGTCGAAATTTTCGGAACCCTCCCCTATGTCATCTTTCATAATCATATCGATGTTTGAAGACGTTAAACCCCTCATAATATTATTATAATAGTCACGATAGGCGGGTGAAATGAGCGCCAAATGAGCGCCAATCCGCGCGGAAAAGTTATTGGGCGTGAAATGAGTCGTAAACAAAAAAAAAACAACATACGGGATTCACAGCCTATTTGCATTTTCACAAAAGGTTTTTGCAATCAGCCAGTTTCAAAGGCTTGCAAGCTCCTTTATACTTTATGATAAGACGATTGGAAAGCGAAAGCTATTTTTTTCTTTTAATGCGATATCGTTTAAGAGCTCGTTACGCGGAAATTCTGGGGTCGGCGTCAATGGTTGTGAGTGGAAACTCAGGTGCGTGGCCGAAAAATTGAGAAAGTTGCAAATAAAACAAATAATAAAAATATTTGGGTACGAGTGAGGACCGAGCCCAGGCCGTACACGTGGGAAGCAGGTGTTCCACCACACAGTCACGCATGTGCTTAGAATAGTTAAAAAATAACTCCTCTGCTTGAAAATGCAGTGAGAAAAAAATTAATCTTTAGAAACAAATTCGTCCTGTATACAGGCTTCACAATACAACACGTTATATCGCAGTACTATTGCGTGGTACGAGCGTACATTGATATCTACGCCATATGCGAAAGTTTCGCTGACACAAGCTACTTTACAGTCTATCGATTATATTGCAGTGATCTTCAACTTCTCGGGTAACATCATACAATCAAATGTATTCACTAAGTGGTTGAAGTACGCACTAGGGACAGGATATCGCGTTCAAGGCGAAGCTTAAGAGTTCCGCAGTTTTTTTTTCTTTCCTCAGCGTGTACGCATTGATCTTCCCCATTAGAAAGCTTTCTGCACCTCACCTCATTTTACACTGCCTCCGTGACAGGCCCACCTTTGCCCACGCGAAGATGTCGTGCGATGACATAAAGATATGCGATGTAATAGTGATGTAACGATGACGCCACAGATTGTATAGCTATCTGTGACGTGGCGACAGCGCACAGTGACGTCGTTATCTGGTTGCTTTCTGCAGCAGTCGTGTTGGCACCGACGCCGCGTGACACCAACGGTAAATTTTGGCGCTTGATGAAGCATCTAAGGCTTTCGCATTAAGAAAACTACCTTTACTACTCTTCACTCAGCTTGGCTACTTTTTCCAATTTTCGCCTTGTCAACCTGGCGACCCTGCTTGCTGGCTTGCAACGATTAAGCTTCGCGCTGCCTTTACAGACGACTTCCTCGTTTGTGCCCTCCGTGAAAACCTTTCCAGTGGCGGCCGGTTGTTTTAGGGCCCCATTCGGTCACAGTGCCACATTTTGGGCTATGGGGCAGCCACGGTTGCTGACGTCCTGCGCTGGACAGACGAACTTGGCCTTTGGGCGCAGTGAGGGGCGTCGCGTACTGGCTGCGCTTCCACAATGTCTACAAGGCAGCATTCAATGAAGAGCGAATAAGTAAACGGAACCGAAGGAAATAATGCCTTTTTGTTTGCCTCCATTTTTTATGCACTGCTCATTTCAAGTCATGCCTGTTTACCGGTAAAAAGCGCACGAAGACGGGAAGACGACGCACGGAGCACGCTGTATTTCCGCCTTCAAGCGCTCACCGTTTTGATAACGTCGCTGTATTAACAATAGCTCAGAACCAGCCTCCGATCCAGTGTGTTTACAAATCTGCCCAACTTGACAGAAGGAGGATGGGGGTCCTGTTGTTTACAGATGAGCTTAGTTGCTATACATTTACGTCTGTCACCAACCAGGTTATCAAGGTAGTTATAATTGTAAGAGTTTGTAAAAATAATGAAAAGTAACGAGCCGTCCCACTCACTGGCGGTGGATCACCAGCGAGTCTGTGCTGCAAGTGCATCTCGATTCGCGTGGGCTAGCAGTGAAGCGAGCAGGTTACTTATGTCCTGATTCACTCGTTAGCGTTTACTTTTAGTTTACCCAATGTTTGTGACATATTTGGTCTTCATCTGGGTTTTCTTGACATTGAAACAATGTGTTTTCTTCTGAGCAAGCAAGGTAACTGTTCGAAAAGTTATGATATGTTCATATTATTTGTTACTCTCACAGTCATGTCTACCAGTCCACCTAGTTCACTAGCTCTGGGTGGCCACGGTCGCCTTTCGTTTTTTATTTTGCAAGAAGGCTGTTCATGGTAGCTTTATCTTGAATTGTTGAGTGAGCGAATGTTCACGGAGTTACGAATGGTCTGTAATTATATATCGCTTTGCTGTAAACGACGAGAGTTCCAATGTAAGCTTGTTGGTGATGCACTTGAGATAATTATATTGTGAGCGAGGCGAAATATTGAAACAGGAAGGAGTAGGCTGAGAGGACAGAGCACTACTAGCAACGACATGTTTATTTTCGAACACCAAGCCGCTTTTAAGCCATAATCGTCAGGCAGACAGATATGCGCGTGAACTGACTCAGATAAATGCGCGGCAATCTCGTCTACCTAAAAGAAAAAAAAATGCATCA